AAGCGCCGCGACTTCAGCCACCTGGGCTACTCAGGCATCTCTCGAGGAAATTTGCAGAGCGGCCACATGGGCATCTCTGTTGCCTTCCATCAGACACTTATCGTTTGGACTCCTTTTCCTCAGCTAATGCAGCTTTCGGCAGTGGGTGCTCCAGAGGGTAGTCCCACAGTCAGAGTAAGCTGACTGGACCATGACCCTCCTGTGGACATGCAGGCTGTCCCATCCTGGATTCTCAAAGCAGTGTGGATGAGAATGGGAGCTGGTATAATTACTTGAAAACATCCTTTCTATCTACGCTGCAAGAGACTCCAGCCCCACCCTTGTTACATCTGGTTCTGGTAAGGCATGATTGTTCTAACTGTTTCCTTATTTTTCGGCTTCCAACGACACTCAAGTCTGCCAAGTAGCTTCACCAAAACTGGGAGGGGCCAGCTAAGGCTGGCTTTTTATATAGAGGCAGACTCAGCTCTATGACATCACAGGGAAGAGACTAACCCATCCTGGACGGTCTTGCAGCATAGATAGAAAGGGCATTCTCAGGTAATTATACCAACGCCCATTATGGATGTATCTCGAGGTCTACCTGTATAGCCACAAGTAAAAGGTAATAACTAATTTCTACTTTGAATGATAATTGTTCCTATTAGTTTAGGTATACCTTTGTTACTATAGATGTTTAACATTTCAAAATCCAATATTATGAGAATCCTAACTTTTTAAAGCTCTCTTTCAAATGTTAATGATTTATTGTTCACTAACTTTTGCATTTCCGTTCTCTTTGTGTGCAGATTATTTTTAAATGGGTTGAAAAGGTATATTGAAATTTGGAAACTTCTTATGTTCATTTCTGAGAAAATGTATTGCATCAGACTACATTGATGTTAAGCAACAATTGTACATGATGTCCAGGATCATCTCCGTAGATGCGACATTGCATGATTTCACAAGCATCTAACTTTAGGATGAACAGTCGATCTGTAAACCAAATACAGTTATATCTTATTCCTTCTGTGTCCAGAGTATCCTGACATCATACCACTGAATTTTGAGGGCAAATGACCAGATTTTGGAGGGTTTTGAATGGCTTTAATTGAAATTAAATTCAATTAATTGAGAAGTTTGCCTTATGTCAGCTCAGCCTACAAATTGCCTAGCCTGTCAAAGGACATGCTTCAAAAATGATGACAGAAATTTTTAAAATTTATTTTTTAAATTAAGTTATGTATACTTGTGTGTGAAAAAGATAAATATTTCTTAGTCAATTTATATGGCCATGCATCTTGCAATAATGATTCTGGTAGCCACAATACTAAAACAATTTCTAATGTACATTATGGCAATCAACATAATGTTTTGATATAACTTTATTTACCAATCATCATTAAGGAAGTCCGCTGCAGTTGTAGTTTGACTACGGTAATATCAGTATTGTTGGAATTGGCTCTTTTCATCATTTTAACCAAGAATGCTTCATAATTATTCAAATATTTTTGTTTATAACAACACTTATAAACAGTAACCCTTTCACTTCAAGTTGCCTAAGTGGTACATTTAAAAAAGTCTATGAAAAGACTACAACTCAGTGTTATATTTTTCACACATTCCTTGGGAATCTTTCTACGGCAGATAAATGATGCTTTAGTTATGGAAAAGTATTGCATCCTAATGCATTTCTTTATAAAACGGATATTTAAAAAAATGTTTGAAGTATGCAAAGCTAAACGACTTCAAGGTTAGCTGCTAACATTTTTTGTGTGGTGGACTTAAGTATTTAAGCCATGAATTTTGAAGGATCTTGTCACCAGGTGGAGACAGGAGTACAGATATGAAACATTAGCCTTTTGATAGAAATTTGCTAGATTCCATTTAGAATTTAAGTTGTTGCCACCAGATGGAGGCATTCTATGATAATTTAGATTTTCAGAAATGTAATAAGCTTCCAAATATTGCTGCATACATTATTTCATTTGTAATGAATAATTCCACAGTAACAGTTAGAAATTAGCACTGATGACAATTTCTTTTTGGAACCCTTTATTTCATTACCTACCAGAAGCTAATTTGTAAATTTTACTTTTTTTCATTCCTTTAGATGAAGGTGAAAAAAACCTGTGGCCCCTAAATATTTCTGTGGTTGTTCCTCCAGCCCTTCCTTAAAAATAAAGTCAGATTAAAGATTAGTCAGAGAAAACAAGAAAACATAAGAAAACACAAAAAGATAATTCCTTTTAGCCTTATGAAATTTATTAAGAAACTATTTACAACTAGCTGAATAAATCGGTTAGAAAGTAGTCCACCTTTTAATATTGAAGATGGATGTTCCTTAGTGAAGCTCACTGGTTTTACATCTGTAGATTCCATCCTAATGTAGGATTAAAATGATATTGGAATTCAGAGAGGTTTTTTTTCTTTTTTCACAGAGTTAAAGAGGAGAGCTTTATCTATTCAAGATATGAAGTGTATGAGATATTCTTCACTATAGTTACAGCATAGTTTGTGTTTTATTTACTGAGAAAAATTTTGTTTATTTCACCACCAAGGTGTTCCACCATTGTTACTGAAACTGGAGAAATTTCTCAAGTTATTCAAATTATTGAATTATTGTGTTTCTTGCCATATATTTGGCATAGAAAGACCACTTATTTTTCCAATTTAAATTGGAGCTACCTATTATTGAAGTAAAGTAATTTTACAATATTGGATTCTGAATCTGTTCTTTGGTTAGTCAATTTGTATGGTCTATATTGTGTGCATATATTCTCTACATACCATCTTCACAGGTGGTTATATTTTTTTAGGATATTTTTCTGGAAAAGCTTATCCATATTGTATTTTCATGATTAACTCTTCTGTGCTGTTCTATGTTGTTCATACTCTGTTTCTTAATTTTATAATTAAAGTAGTCAGTTTTCATCTATATCACAAATTAGCTACTCATAATTAATAGAATAGAATAGGGTAATTAATAATTTTCTGACCATCATCTGTTCTGCTGTGCCAGGAGATTTAGATTAGCTAGGAAGCAGGAAATGATTGGATTTCTTGCTTTCTAGCTAGTCTTTAGATCTTTGGTTCTGCTTTTAAGCACAGCCGAACCTCCCTTAGGACTGAAGGTTCTGTTATTCAGCGCACACTCATGGCAAGCACATTTGAGAGACTGAGCTAGCCGTCATAATTAATAGAATAGAACAGAATGAGCTGGAAGGGACCTTTGAGGTCTTCTAGTCCAGGGGTCGCCAACCTTTTGGACCTCAGGGACCACCAAACTCATAATTTTAAATCCCAGGGACCACTAGCCAGTTCTGTGGGTGTGGCCTAATTTGTGGGTGTGGCTTGGTGGTCATGTGACTGGCTGAGCATGGCTTGTATGTAAATATTATAAATATTTATATAAATATTGAATTTTTTTATAAAAAAGAGTAACTTTTACCCAAAATCAGGCAAAGCAGGCAGGCAGATTGAGTTGCTCACAGAATCATTCAGTGATCAATCTATCTGCCATCGGCTAGCTCAGTCTCAAATTTGCAGTGGAAAAAACTGCAACAGATAGTGAGTAATTGATTATTAATATCAAAATTGGAAAGAGACTCATCTGAAGCATTTCTGCAATGTACCTTTTTTTCATAAAAAGGATATTTTCTCAATGTGTTCATACTGGTTTTTGATGTTTGTTACTTACATATAATGAAGACTTTTCAGAAAAAATTCTCAAATTGAACAAGTTTCAACCTGTTTACATGATAAAGCCATTCTTCTTCCAAACACTATTGCCTGTTATAGCAATCGATAAGAAGATCAATTCCATTGAGTTGGCAGGAATGGACGCATCTCTAGTGCAGCTGTCCACAACCTGACAAATGTGTCATTTTGGTCTTCGTCTTCAGTGATTTTATAGAATTCTATATCTCCTCATCTGATATACTTTGTAGGATACATTTTAGGCTGTAATTTTAAATCATTAGTGTTACATGACTGAGTAGGAATGTAGTGCTTCCATTAGTTTTTGTATAGGAGCTATACTAACTTTCCCATGAGAATCTTTGTAGAAAAAAATGGGGAAGGTGAGTGGAAGATATGAAGCATGCTATTTACATTGTCTTTTTGGCTGTATTGTATAAACCCAGTTCATATCAAAGTTGCAGTTAATAGATATAATGTTTTTAATTTTTTCGATAGAAGAAAAAAACAACTGTTCCCAATTTACTCTTGTTACAGAAATGTTGGTCCTTGACATTTTTCCATATAGAACATGCCAGAATGACATGCATTTCTAGTCATCCACCATATGTATGAATAAGAGCACATACATGTGTATATGCTACAGCAGAAATCTTGTTTTTAAACAAAGGTGATGGAAAATTAATGGACTGCTTGAGAAAACACTTTTTTCTCACTTTAATAAGAATGCCTGTGTTTTGGAGGCCGGTTAACTTTCTGCTTCTTGTTTAGATTCTTTAAAGTGGGAATTTTAAAGTGACAGTTATAAATGAATATAATTCTCTAGATGATTCATACATTTTAAATTATATAGGATTATTACCCTAGACAAGAATAAATAGTACAGCATTTCACAATGTGAAAACTTACTGCTTTGCTTTGCCTGTTCAATATGCTCATCCAGAGCACATTGAAGCACTTGTAGGCCAGACAAGGAAAAATGGATGGAAACTGAAGATTTAACCTGGAAATAAGGAGAAACTTTCTGACAATAAGAACAATCAATCAATGGAACAGTTTGCCCTCGGAAGTTGTGGGAGCATCATCACTTGAGACTTTCAAGAAGAGATTGGACTCCCATCTGTCAGAAATGGTGTAGGGTCTCCTGCTTGGGCGAGGGGTTGGACTAGATGACCTACAAGGTCCCTTCCAACTCTGATTATCTGTTATCTGTTAGAGTATAGCAAGTGAATGAGAATCACATTTGTGATTAAAACAATCAGAAGTTTATTTAATCCTCAAATCATTCCTGATTAATTTCTTGTCCCTTTTTTATTTTTCAGGATGGCCTTCATTCTATGATGTAATCAACTCTGACACAATTACATGTACTGATGATTACTCATTTGGGATGCACAGGGTTGAGACAAGCTGCATTCAGGTCAGTTTAAAAATAACAAAACAGCCATTCTAATGTTAAATATTTTTTTTGTAGCAGCTCTAGTTCATCCATTCACATAGAAAGACTTGCAAACTCTTAGTTACCCCAAAATTAACCATTGTCTGCTGGTCATAAGCATGACAGCTGGTAGGTATAAAAAGTTAAAGTCTAAAGAGAATCTATATTGTTATCTAGGTTAAACTTTATTTAACAGTGTGTACATAAGTGACCTAAATCACAAGGCTTAGAAATTGTCCTTCAGGCAAACATCCTTTTGAGGTTCCCCTTTGACCTCTGCTCTCTTAAATCTAAATGTTAAATGTGGATAATGGGTGTTACTTTCATCATTATGAATAGTTGAGGAGCAGTACCAACAGAAATCCAGGAGTTATTCTCATGTATCTTACTGCTTATCTTCAAGTTCCTTCTGCCAAAATACTTGACTGATCATGTTAAATTCTGTTTTCCATTATATGTCTCATTCTAATTCCTTTTGACTGTTACTATCATCTGTCTTCCATAGCATTAATGGCTCGGTCCAGACTTTATCAGGGAGAAAAGGTTATTGAGCAAAATAACAAATCCCAGAACCAAGAAGATATGGTTAATTATAAAAGAGCACAAAAGAAATTTGACTGGAAAACATAAGTAGAAGTATTTAGAAAGGCAAATGCAATGGTGAATGAAAATTCTAACTCAGTTTTTTTAGTGCGGTTGAACTAGTTTCAGCTGAATTTTAACTTTGATCTTGGTTATAAGTTTTCTATATCAGTGTGCTAGAATTACTTAAAAAATGATATCAAGGTGATCATTTGAACAAGCTAATAAGTGGGCTTACATATTTTATAGTCATTTTCCATTTTTCTTTTCAGAGCTGTCGTACTGGCAATCATCATAAACAAATCATAAATCATAAACAAATCATAAAATTGTTTCAGTGCTAGTAGAACTGCAGTCTGGAGGGAAGAGTCTACATGGGAGCTCTGATGTGAAAGCATAATTATATTTATCTTTTTTGTCTATTTAAGACCTTCAGTTAAATTACTTATGTGTATATAGATAATTAACCACTTTCATATATTCCTGTTTTTGGGATTTGTTTTTCTGCTTTTCATTCCAAAGCAATCAGAAGTTAGCTCGCAATGTTAGCTCGCAAGTACATTATTATAATAGGCTATTTAACAGGAAAGTAAACCATAAAGTAGCAGATTAGTAAAGAGAAACATCAAGTAGAATCATTAAAGGATCTCATTAATTAAAAGCATAGATAATAAGATATATTTTGCATAATATTATGTTAGCTTCCGGGGAAAAATAGAAGTCTAATAGAGCTAAAGTGAAGTTGTCTTGATATAAAATAAATTTGCTAGAGTAGACAATGTAGGACTGTCTCTGGAGTGGCTGTTCCTAGCTGGGAGCTATAAAAGTTTAATTATCTGAACAATAACTTTCTTTGTATATCATACAGTTCTTTATTGTACTGGCAAGGTGATACTTATGATGAACCATTTTGCCACAAAAGGACATATTATTTATAATTTTCTCTGTATAAAACTTCTTTTGAAGCTTTTGAGTACTCAGAGATCTTCTTCAGAAATGATGTCCTGAATCCTGACAGAATTCTATGGAATAATCATGCACTTCTTATTCCAGCAGTTATTTTAGTTTTTGCAGGACCTCTTTGTAGAGTTAGTAAGTCACCTACAAGAAACATTTTTGAATATTGTAATGTTACAGTGTTGTAGTGTTTATTTACTGTAGTTAAACATCCTCTTCAGAATTAATTTCATTTGGAGGACAGAAAAGAACAATATGGCAATCTTAAACCAACCTCGTATCGCATTACTTTCATTTGTATTGTTAAAGATATGACCCTTCTATTTGATATGTGGATAAGTATATTCACTTTGTACAAATTGCAATCAAACTGTGATGACCTGGGGCGTGGCACAAAGGCAACACAGTCACATAAGTAAGATAAGTCCCTTTAATACCTTCAAATTTGTCCCCAATGTCCAGTTACCTTCAGCTGAAAAAACTCTCCCAAGAACAGTCTTTAAGTGGAAGAAATTCAGTCCGAAAACAAAGTAGATATAAACTGTAAATAAAAATCCACACAAACCACGCTGCAGCAATTAACTGGACAGGGCAGGATAAGGAATTGCAGACTTCAAAGGCCAACAAAACACACACAGTTGGAAGACACCAGGAACCCAGATAAGCCTCGACAATAAAAGATAACTCATGATTTGCTTCCAACAAGTTGCTGTGCGCAAATTCCCTTTTTAAACACTGTTCCCAGCTGCAGCTAATGAAGGGAATCAGGGCCCTTTCCTCCCCCATAAGCCACGCAACTCATGTTACTCCCTTCTCCGTTCCTCCCTGCGTGCCCTAGGATGAAGAGGGGATGGGCCTGGATCTTCCTCTGAATTCCCTCTACCTTGCTCTATCTCTTCCCTGCTCTACCCAACCAGACTGTGCCCTTCCCCAGTTTCTTCCACAGCCAATGGAGCCACACTGCCACTTCCTGTCAGCTGCTTGGCTCCCCTTCAGAATCAGATTCCGACAGAGGCATGACACAAACTGCATGTATTTGAAGCACATATGTTTAGAGTAAGTTTCTCAAAGGACCAAATAAAACGGAATAATGACTGAAGACCAGCATTTTAAATACTAACTAATGGATTAAATTAAATCCAATTTAACAACTTTAAAAATAAAGCTCATGTGTGTTAATTTTCAAATATTTACCTTACGTTTTCCCACTAGGTTTTCTGTATTTAAAAATAAACACAAGTTACATTCTTTTCTTTCAGTGTGGTGCTCATCTTGGCCATATATTTGATGATGGGCCACGTCCAACTGGAAAACGATATTGCATAAATTCAGCTTCATTAGCTTTTGAGCCTGCAGACAAGAATAATGCTGGAGAAAAAAATGCTAGTTCTACATCTGCACAACCAAATAAGACAGAACTGTAATGGGAATCCGTTGCTTAAGATTGTTTTCCTAGATGACGTGGAAAGAATATTCTAAATGATTTTCAATCTTACCTACTATTTTTAAAACATACAAAGATGTTCTGCAGTATATAGTTTTTTTCCTGATCAAAATGAGACATGTTAATTTCTTTTCCTATATCACCACACATAACTATTTCACAACTTCTGTGCTTTGAGGCATCCCATAACAAAATGACTTTTGACACTATGATGTTGATTACTTGCATTTTTCTTAAAATAACAATTATATTCCTTCATATTTTTCATTCTTTTCATTCAGTACACAACTATAGTAAGAAAACAATTTTCTAATGGTACTTAGGCAATTTTGTTTTGATTTACACATATACAGGTAATCCCCGGGTTACAAGTGTTCCCATAGCGAATGTTTGAAGTTACGTGATAACGCCCCCTAGTATTTATGAACAAATCCCAAAACTATGAATGTTGCAGCACTGAGGCAGTTGTTTGTCCTTATGAACAACCACAGAAGCTCTGCAACATTTGCCCTGCCTATTCCACCCTCTGCTCCAGGTTTTCATAGGCACTAGGCCTGTGGATACTCACCTTGCGAAGATCTAGAGTTCCTTCGCTTTCCTTGCCTGTTTTGGCACTTCAGGCCTTCAGTGACCACACAGAGAATGGAGGCCTAAAGTACTGCAAGATTTTCTGAGATCAGTAGCGCGAGATCTCATGCTATTGATCTTTCGTGGTCTCGTGGTACTTTAGGCTTCCATTCTCTGCAAACAGAGGTCTAGGCAAAATCTGCAGCAAAAGGCTTTGCAAATGAAAGGAAGGCCTGAAACATCAAAGCTTTCCCTCCATTTGCAAAGCCTTTCGCCATTCTTGCAAAAAACCTTTGTAGTCCAAATGGAGCTTCACAGCTCCATTTTCTCGTCCAGAACATTGCAGCCTGAGATAGAGCTCTGGAGGGGCATGCACGCCCTTCCAACGTTCTGTTTTGGTGTGGGCAGGCCTCGTCTGGAGCTCCATTTTGGGCTGCATAGTGTTGAACGAGGCCTGCCATATCAAAATGGCGCTTCGTCCCCTGCCTCTCCAAAGCTCTGTTTTGGGCTGCAAAGTGCCAGATGAGGCCTGTGCATGCCAAAATGGAGCTTTGGCCCCTGCCCCTCCAAATCTCAATTTTGGGCTGCCACACCAAAACGGAGCTTCAGAGTGACATGTGCGGCTGGTATTTCAGCAGGTTGTGGAGGCCTTGGTCTTAAGGAGGTGGCCTGTTTTACCACTAGCACCCCCCCCATGGGTTTCCCCACTCTGAAATACCTCATGTGCACTTAACAAGCCTCGCATTCGATTAGCGAATGCATGGGCGAAAGGAGGGAGTGATCACATTTAAGGTATGAGATTCACTCCCATGAATCCTAGGGTTACGAATGGAATGGGCAGGCTCCATTCCATTCATAACCCAAGGACTACCTGTAGTCAACTAACTGTAATTATTGTACCATTCCATAAATGAGGCTGTATAATTTAGTAAAATCAATCCAACTTTTGTCTTGGATTTCTGCAAAAGTATTCATCTACATAAATGGCAACCATACATCCCTGCCTTCAGTTAAATAAATACTATTTTTTTTTAAAAATTAAATAAGATGACATTTATCTGCCTAGAAAGGATAGTAAATTTACTCCTTTATGTAGCAGGTAGCTTTCTTTGGAACAGCTTAAGAGGCCAGAGCAGTCACAATATGCTTTTAAAAACTGTGGATGAAGACTGGTAATCATACACCAGTTGTTTCCTCATACTTGTAATGAGGATTTTAAAAATCCTTATTGTATTTTTATCCTCAAAATGTCAAAAGAGGACTCATAGACTAGTCTGCAAATGTGAGGGAGATTTTTTTTTATTTTTTTATTACTTTGTGATCATATGAGAATATAAAAACTCAGTATTGCCTTAGCAATTAGTGTTGTCCTGGAAAAGTTAATATCTCATTAAATGGTACACATCTTCCTGAAATTTCCCTTACAGTGTTTAAGCAGCAGTGTGTAGAATAGCTACATGGAAAGTCCTATTGTAAGCATCAAATTGCTTACAAACTACATTACCTTTTTATTACTACTTGGGAAATAATCATTTAGGCTGTATTCTCTTACTCCTTTTCAATTTCTATATGAAGATCCACTATCCTCAGTGTATTGCCCACTTGTATAAGAATAGAGACAATACTTTTTCATAAACAATAAAACCCTAGCAACAAATATCAGTGAAAGATAGTGGCCTATGATAAAGTGTTAGTCTGAGATGTCTGGTTCTACTAAGAGTGAGCAGGTTTGCCTTAAAGAGGAAACGCTGAGTATGAAGTGTGGCCCTAACCCTAACCATTGGGTTTGCCATGGAACCTAACCTGGGTCTCCCAAAGTGGGGTGGGCAAAATGACATTGATCTCACTGTTGATTTAAAAAACAAAAGGTCAATACAGTCAATCTCAGTACTTGTCCTGGCAAGGAGACAACATGTTGTCCTTCAGCTGTGATAATCATTTAATTTGTGAATTTGTTTCAGATTTTAGTATGTGTATGACAGAAATCTCTTGCAAGGATATGCCTACATTCTACGTCATGTTACAAGAGAATTGGTGTGATTGCTGTGAAAATGAACTGACATGCTTGAGAATAACAGTATTTTACAAAGTATAACATTACCATACTATTTAAGATAATTTTACCATAATTCATTATCTGTATCAAACAGATCACCTATATCTGGCACACAAATAATTAAAATTGCTATCTATTAGCCTCATACATCTTAGCAGCAAAAATTGAAATTGTAGATTGATACAGGACTTAGGAATACAACCATATGCATAAGAATTATTTGTAGCATTCTGAGGCATGTGATTACTTTCTCACTTTTGGGTGAATCTTTCTGCCATTTGCCAAGAGACTGTATTTTTATTAGAAGTTAGTTTTCTCCAATCATATTTTCCTAAATGAAATCTCTGATGTGTAACAGCAGAGAAAATATGGGGCATTAATTTTTGAGATAACTTGCAGTTCACGTTTCAACCTATTTCTGTCTTCTTAAATAAATTTATCCCTCAGACTCTAATAAGCAATAATGTAAGCTTTTCATAAGTTGATTTATATTTATATTTTATAGAATGTGGTGAATTGAATCGGCTTGGCCACATAGAAGTGCTATTAGAGCATAACTTCATTAATAAACAGAAGCCATGGATATAGATTGTTTTTCATTGATATCTACTAGAAATAATGTGACCGTAACATTTACAGTACTGCAGAGCCCAAATATCACTTCGTTTATGGCTTTGCTATAATTTGGATATTATTGAGCACAATATGTGACTTGGGAATCCGTTGGTGTCTCCTGGATATTTTGAATTGTGTGACTGATAATATTATTGAATGTACGTTTCAGGCTATATTACATAAGAGTTTATACAGTTATTGAAAGAGAAAGAAAAAGATTATTTTAGTATATTTGAAACCTGCCATTAGAACTGGCTTTTTGCTTTTAAGACATTAGGTTTTATTCAATGAAGATGCCTTTTAATATGTTTGCTGAACACAGATATATAATATATTTAATTTATAAATAAACATTTCTCTATATTCTCTGCTTTTGACTCATTATTTCTCACTCAAGGATGGTCTGTATCTTCGGTCCCATGGGGAGAGGGGCAGTGGTGGGATTCAATTTTTTTTACTACCGGTTCTGTGGGCGTGGCTTATTTGGGGGGCATGGCTTGGTCATGTGACTGGGTGGGTGTGCTTGGTAGTCATGTGACTGGGTGGGCGTGGCCAACTCAATGTTACTCACATCAAGGGGTGCCTCACCTGGCCCCTCCCCTCCCAGCCATTCCTTGTCATCCAGCCTCAACTTATCTATAGTTCTATAAAAATGTTCACCTTTTTTTACTTTATTATCTGCATACTATAGATGTACTTTCATGGACCACTGAAAAAAGGAAATGGCTCACATGCTTTACCCAAGAGTATGATAGGCAACAGGCTTTTAAGGGGCTGCCACAAAGAAAGAGGGACAGTGTATTTTCCAAAGAAGCAGAATGCAAACAAAAAGCAATGGATGGAAACTGAACAGAAAGAAGCAACCTAAAACTAAGGAGAAACTTCTGACAGTGAGAATAATTAACTAGTGGAACTGCCTGTCTCCAGAAGTTCTGGGTGCTCAATCACTGGAAGTTTTTAAGAAAAGACTGGACAGCCATTTCTCTGAAATGGTATAGGGTTCACCCCAAGGTCCCTTCTAAGTGTTATTCTGTTATTCTGACACCTTTCCCAGGATCTCTACTCAGAATGGCATTCTCAGTTTTCTTGCCTGAGCTGGGAGTTGGACTAGAAGACCTCCAAAGTGCCTTTCAATTCTTGTTAAACACATGTATTTTATGCTCTGGACTATTGACATTGAATGCATGTAAACCCTGAAAAATATGTGATAGCCCTGGGCAAAAGAAAGGCAGAAAAATCACTCTAGGTGTAGGGACAGTGTAAAATATTAACATATGATAAATAATGGAACAATTAAAAATAATAGCACAGAGTTTTCTCTCTTCCTATTTATTCTCTCTCTCTCTCTCTCTCTCTCTCTCTCTCTCTCTCTCTCTCTCTCTCACACACACACACACACACACACACACACACACACACACACACGGAGCACTTTTGTAGCTTAACAGACATGCATTTTGAAGCAGCTCCTTTAAATTTCTCCAAGACTGGAGTGGATTCCCCCACCCCCTTTGTCAGCCCACACTCCTTCTCACTCCAGGCACTTAACTCACAAAGGAAAAATGATACTTGCAGCGTCCATGCCTTTCTTCCTTTCCCCCTAGGGAGAAAGAGGACGTGGGGAACAGAAAGCTAGGAGAGCAATCGGGGCAAGTGAGTGGCCAGGCGACTGGGTTGGAGGCGTGGCCAGCCAGGGTCAGCATCAGTTCGGCGACCCATGCCAAATAACTGCTACAGGTTCGCCCGAATAGGTGCGAACCGGTTCAATACCACCTTTGGAGAGGGGGACACTCTGGTACTAAGCAGTCATAACTGTTGGGGAACATTAAGACTTGAACTCCCAGAATTGAGTTGAAATCCACAAGTCATAAAAGGGCCATCATTCACCATCCATGCATTAAAAGAAGGAAAAGCAAATGGATAACAGAATATAGTTCCCTGCACATAGTATGATCGCAGTAATATATTTGATGTTTTAGTTGTAGTTGAAGAGAGGAACAATTGACAAAACTAATCTAATTTTATATAGGACAGGGAAAATATAGAAAATTAAGTTTCTTAGTTTTCACTGAAATCAAAATGAAAAGTTATTCATCAATTGTTCAATCTAATTAATTAATTATAAATGAGGTTTGATACTCATTTTTTTCTAAAAAGTTATTTTTTCACATTTCAAAAACATATTTTTTTTTGTGAACAGCATGATTCCAGGTTTTCACATTTCCATACAAACATGACTTTGATTACATATTCATCTTTCACATTTAGTTTCATATCCTATCATTTCTTTACATATTTTCTATTAATTTTCTCAAGTACTTTTCTCAAACTTATTTTATATATTTTCCATTCATTTCTTAACCTCTTTTATCTTTAATTCTCATATCTTCATATTTATTGTGCTTTATATTTTTATCTGTCAGGTTTGCAATTTCGTCGCATATTCTTATTTCATCATTTCAAAAACAACTCAATTCAAACATTTCAAAAAAGTTTTCCCCACATTTACCAATTAGAGTGTACCACCCCTATAACTTATTTCATTTGGTTAACTCCTCTTTAATTCCCAATAATCATTTAACTTTTAAATTATCACCTTAAAGATTAATAACAATAATCTCCTAACAACGACATAACACATGTACATTTTCAATCAGATACCGCATGGCACTTTCCCTTTCAATTACATCAAATCATTTATAATTTCTAAATAAAAAAGGAAAATTGGTCTATTCAATTAATCATAAAAACTGATATTAATCTCATTACAGCAATCCTCATAATTCATTTCAACTATATTCTTGAAGTCATTAAACATAGCTAATAAACTTTTTTCTCTTTTTCATATTTATTCCATTTATCTCTATATATAGGTTAACAAAGAACAAATATTCTAATAACAAGAAAGTATCTGTTCTAATCTTTTCTTTTTTAAAATCTATATTTTCCTACTTTCTAAGTAATTTATTACTTCAAATACATTAATACTATCCCACATCACCTTGCAGAATCCCCTTTCTTAATCCTTATTTAACCATTATCTCTATGTCTTTTAAATAGGCAATTTCTTTTCATTTTTATTTGATTTCCACATTCCTTTATTTCCTGGTTCTTATTCTTATTACTTCTTTTTTCTTTCATTTTTCCCTTCCTTTTCTTACTCCAGTTTTTATCCCCCTCCCTCTTTAAAGCTTCCTTCTGTAATTCCCTTTTCTGCTGTTTCCTTTTACTTTGTTTGACTTTCAAAACATTCCCGTTTTTAATTGCCTCCTTGAAACTCCAGGTTTTAATTCCCATTCTTTTCCCCCTTTGCTTTAATATTTGTTGCTCCAATTGTTCATTGAAGATATTTTTTGCA